GGGGAGGGGGGAGGAGTTGATGTGTATGTGAGATGATATGGTAGTATTTATGCCTCCTTTTTGAAACTGAAGAGAACATTTCAAGAGCACAAACTGGTTCTGAAGTCTTTCAGCATATGCAGACCGAGGTGGACAGCTGTGTTAATCTGAAGGCGGAATGTACGGCAGGGTGGTACCTACCTTCAAAGAAGCATGGAATTTCATAGGCAACCACCTACTTCATCAGATCCTATGACCAAACTGGCAGAAAGAAATGATTCTGTACATAAGGGAAGGGGACACAGCTATAAGAGTCCCCTAGAGCCTTCTGGACCATTAAGTGGGAACCACAGACATAATGGGCAGTCAGAACTGGAAAAAAAGACTGACAAGCCAAGTTCTGTAGAAGTCACAGGGGCTAAATCCGGACACAGACTAACCAAGGAGACTTCAATGCATGGGGTAGATACAGTACCCAAGACTGTGGTTCTCTTCAGGAAGATCTTTAGCAGGAGTCAGTACAGCAGCCATCAGGCTAGTCCCATTTGAGGGTAAACCAAAGAAATCTTTAACATATATGCATTATGGTCTTTCGTACGAACCAACAGAACGTAATCAATGAAGCTGCACTGGAATAACAGTATTGGAATATCAGTATCTGAGCCTCCAGGCGCTTCAACATCAGCTAGAGTGGGTTCTGAAATCAGATGCTCATTAGTCTCATGAGCCTGCTACTGAAGCTTAAAGTTGTGAACAAACAAAACAGAACATGAAGCCGGTATTGTGAGACCTAGAGCACCCTTGAGAATTGTGACGGAAGGAGGATCTCACTGATTTGCCAAACAAAGAGTTGCAGCTTAGTCTTGTTCTCCTTTCTGGGCCCAGGTGTAAAGGCTGTCCACGAAGCATTCTCTAGGAACGCAGGATTCTCTGAAGTAATCCATAGAATCCAGAACGTTACAAATACACTACCTCTCTCCAGCTTAAGACAGGCATATCTCAACTCCCAGTGTCCAGGAAAAAAACAGGATATCAGGCACAAGCTGTTGCTCTCTATTGGCCAAAAGCAAAAAGAGCAAGAGACAAAAGAAAAAAACAAAAAGAAAGCAAAAGCAGACAAGTACAACGTCCTCAAATGGCATGTCGTGGTGCAGATAAAACGTCAGATATAAGGTTTGAGTTTGGATTTTTTTTCTGCTTTTGTTTTGCTTTAAAAATAAATAAAAACAAAACCAGAATAAATATTCTGAAGAATACCAAACAAAAAATGGGTAGCAGATCTCAAAAAAAGGATTTTACCATGGTTGCAAGCCTCATACTGCAAACTGACAGAGCACTACATCTCAAGGCAATGGTTTCAGGAAGAAATGAAGAATGGGGGCTGTGAACTGTCCTTTCTCTCTTTGACATAGAGCTTAAGGAGAAGTGGGATGAAAGTACACTGTATAAGTATTATTAAAATCAGAAGGTGAGTAACTTTGGTCCAGGCACACATATTGAGCTCAAGTACTACAGCACCAGTACATCACTCTCCAAAGAGAAGTGTATTTTCCAGTGTCAGAACAGGTACTATTTAAGAAGTGGAAAGCCAAAGAGCTACTGAACACAAAAATCAATCTGCTCAAAATGATTTCTAGGATTTCAATTCCAAAATATAAAAGAATCAGTCCTATTAAACCACAGATCATATGAAGAATGAGGCCTGGGTTAGGCAAACAGCCTCCTGAACTTGGAATGTATGGAAAGTGTAAGTGAATTCCACCCAAGGACTACACATCAAGACACCAAGAAAATCTCTGTTCACTATCAAAAAGCATAGTATCATCAAAAAACAACCTCCATGCTGAGTCATCAGCACTTTTGTTTGATAAAGACGCCATTAACAAGTGACTGTTAAAATGGTCACCCAGGACTTAAAACCTACTGGAGAAGAGACTTACAGGTAAAACCCGATTTAAAAAATAAACAACCCCCCAAAACCTATTTCCATACAAATGGTCACACACAACACAAAAAAAGTATGGAGGATACACATGCTAACAACAGAAGCAGTATACCAAACATTTTCCTGGGGAGAGGTTCACATCTCTGAGGGGCTGATACAAGAGTGCCTGAAACTGCAGAACTCCCAGTTACCCTGCCATACATTAGGACCAAACTGTTATGCAGCATTAATATATTCTTTCACCATTTCTCATTCTGACTCTGTGCCCCAATTATGGCCTTTAGATGCAATACAAACATGAGATTCTAGGAATTTCAGTAAGTTTTCTTTTTTTTTTTAGGATGGGTTTTATCCACTATATTGTCTGCATCTACTTGGTGGGCCTTGGCTGTCACCCCATTCAAGTAGTTAGGCACAATACTTCTTTCTTTCACCTCTCTCATGGCTAAGTGAGTCATGGCAGAAGTAAGAGTTATTCAGCAGCTCATTTTTTTTGACTTGCTGGGTCTTGTGGCAGATGTTCACAAAGCAAACCAACCTCCCCTTCTGATCTCCCTGCTCCTTAGCTATAGGCTGGACTTAGATCTGGCTCTGCTCTGTTACCTAGTTCCCTGGAATAAAGCAGGAAGCATGTAATGTAATCCAATTAACTCCCACTTCTAGGAAAAGAAGGCGGCAAGAAACAATTTATGGTATTAACAGTTATACCTAAAAAAGATAAGCCACTTTGGATTCCATTTCAGCCCATTTTGAGCTAGTCCTGCAACACACCTAAAACTGATCATGTTTCCAGGAAGTGTCAGCTGCAAAGCTAGTCCTTCTACTGTATAGGCCACCAGCCCCAAGTCCCCTTTTTATGCCCAACAAAATAACTCTCTCAGAAAGGCCTACCTGGTTGTATTTCCACTCACAAATCATCTTCTTTCCCACCACCTTTGCCCGTGGGCTAGTAATTCACTTCAGGAGTTGCAAGTTAACAAAGCACAATTGGTTTGTTAGCACAGTATTCAAGCCAGAGGCACTGGAGGTAGCCGGGGGTGGAGAGTTACCAGGAAGAAACATTAGTGACACAGGTGAAGGGGACTTCCAGTTGGTGAACTACAGGTTTGCCAACTGGGCAGGTGTTAAGTCATCTCTCATTGGTCTATATAAGCTACTAGACTGAACAGGTTTATTACAGGGCTAGAACAGCAAACTGATTCAGCCAAGGCTAACATTGAGTGCTTGCACTTTCAACTTGTTCTAATAAAGAGATTAAGCAAAAGTCTAATGGAGAGACACAATCTCAGCATGCTACTTACTGATCCCAAACTGATGTTCTGACCATATAGAAAAGCACTTGGTAATTTATTCAAGACAAGTACTTATGCAGACTGTCTAAGGCTGTTCACTTCCTCCACCCAGCAACCTAAGTATACACTTCTGGCTTGTTGATAAGTCCATTGCAAAGTCAGTATTTAGGGCCATACATTTCCAAACGATTCTGATAGATGTAAGACCCTGCATGATTAAGTCATCATATAAAACACCATGCTTTTAAATTTTAATCATTCATTAATGATATGGTTCCAAAGTATCATAGCCATGCTTTTAATTCTTTGCAGTAAAAAAAGAACTAAAAACTCCCACAAGGCTAAATGCTTGTAAGGAACAATTCATAATTGTAACACTGGAAGCTAAATATTTCAAAGCTTCTGTTGTTAGAACTGCATGTAGAGAATATTTTTTGAAATTCAAAAACATGCAGAAAGAATTTAAGGAATTCATGCTTATATTAACAAGTAAACAAAAACAAGTGTACCATGCTGTTACTAAGTATCTTGGTTATCACTTTAAAAAGGTGGCTTCAGCTGTCTACCTGTGAAAATTTCTTCTTCATTTCATCAAAGATACTCTGTCTGCAACTCCAAAACATATCCTATGGTATATAAAAAACAAAATTAACAAATCATAATTATTATGAAAGATGTTTTCCTTGTAGAGGAAAAACTCATTCAGTGTAGAGGCCATTGCTGAATATCAACCCCTCATTATATATTATATATATTTTATTTTAAATGCCATTTTCCAATCTAGTATAATAATTCTAAGGCAAGTTCTGCATTACCAGAAAATTTGGACTCATTTCCAAAGATGTACAACTTTGCAGACTGAATAAAAACAGACTTAAACCAGTGACAGGGAATTATTTAATATAGCACACAGCACATGAAACAAAAATATTAGAGTGGGAAAATCCTTTAATATATCACTGCCTCAGTAATCAAATTTAAAAATATTATTAAGTGGAACGATACATTATGAAGAGGCAAAAGATCAAGTATGTATTTTCTCTCTGAACACCAGTAAACAACTCTGCTCTATTTTACAATCACCAAATCAACCTTGTAAAGTACAGATAATCACTCTGTTAATGTAATCAAATTAGCTTTTTTAAATGTTCACAAGAGCCTTGAAAATTTCTTTCAGAAGAACTTCAGCTAACCAAAATTGGTTTGCAAAATCCTAATCAGAGCTTGTTTAGGAAAAAGATTATACAGTATAATATTTGAAAAACAGAACAAAATAAGACTGGTATTAAGTCATACAAAGATGATATAACCCCATGCCTATAACTATTAGTAGTTTTGCTGCCTTTTTGGTGAACCATATTTCAATTTAAATCAAACTGTACACCACATATATGCATACCATACAAAAGAATAACTGACTCAAGCAAATAACACTGGTTCTAACTTTTGCTCAGACCCTACTCTCTACCTTGTAACAGCTACTGTCAACCAGAGAAGTCCTGTGCAATATTAGCAGTTAGGTGTGCAAACAAGATCAACCCAGAGATATCAAATAGGAATTCACAGTGTCAAAAACATTCTGACATGCTACAGCCTTCCTAAGTTCTTTGTCACTAAGAAATCCCAGTTAGATTTATTCTTATTTTTTCCATTGTCACAAACAAATCAAAGCTAAAAGCTGGCATTTTCTGAAGGGCATGCTATGAACCACATGCTATGAACCACTGCTATACCATAACTCTTCTCTTTGTAACTGCGTATGTAATGAAGCTGATTAGAAGAAAGCAATTTCCAGGCTTCTAAACCACCACTGAATTGACTAGGCCCCAGCTATTTCAAGGAGGCACTCAGAGGAACTAGGTAAGTTCCTTAACAAGGTGCAAAAAGCTGACCCCAGGTATTCTGGAGTTAATTACAGAGGTGCAGCAATATATCAGTGTCATATCAGATCATCATTGATAAAAGGAAAATTAATATTATTAGCAATCAGCTTTTTTTGGCTGGTGTAGCCAATAAAGTTAACCAATAAATATTAGGGGTGTACTAATAAAGATTTTCTTGGCCAATACCAACTGCCAATTATTAACCAGCCATATTGACTGATACCAGTCCAAAAGCCTACATACAGGAATGCAGCCCGCCAACTTGGAGAGAAGTGCCCCATACATAAGTCTGTGGAGGGGAAGGGGCGTGGGGGATGGAAGAGGCATGAGGGGCAGGCCCTCATGGTGAAAGAGCGAGTGGAGCGTGGGGGGAGTCTGCCCAGCCAGGGTGGTAAATGGGACTCTGAGGCAGGGACAGAGCTGCAGGCAGACGGGGAGGGAGTGCTCCCTGTTGCTGCACATACCCCTAGGGAGGCATGGGGGACTATGCCTCATAAACTATGGAACTATGACATGTGCCCTCACAGATTTGTGCATGGGGTGGAGGCAGGCTGCCCACTTTGGGCTCAGAGCCAGGGATGGCGCCAGCCTCTTCCTGGTGAGGGGGCTGGGCTGGGGCCAGGCTTGGAGCAGGCGGGCAGATAGTGGTGATGCTAGGAGGGGTGGCTACGGGGGGCAAATTTTGGGATGGCTATAGCCCTCCCCTCCCCCCCAGCACCGCTCCTGCTCAGGGCACCCTGCTGCCTTTTGCTCAGGAGACCTGCGCTGCAGGGCAGGCCGGGGACATAATGGCTGGTGCAGGGTTCCCGAGGGAAAGGCAGCAGAGTGGAATGCCCTGAGCAGGGGTGGTGCTGATAGGGTTTGGGGGGCTGCTATACCTACCACAAAATTTGCCTTAGCCCTTCTGTAGCTCCCCCCTCAGCACCGCCACTGCCTTTGCTCACACCACGCAGCTGAGACCATCCTGCTCCTGCCTGCTCCAAGCCCAACTCCAGCCTATCTCCCTCACTGGGAAGAGGCTGGCGCTGCCCCTGGCCCTGACAGGCAGCCCACTTCCCCTCTGAGCACAAATCTGGGGAGGGGGGGCACATGCCCATGCCTTCCCCAGGGGTGCACACAGCAATGGGGAGCCTCCCCCTCCCCTCCATGACTCTGTCCTACTCCTGGGGGTCTCATTGAGTGCTCCGGCTGGGCAGCACCTGCCCCATTCCCTCCCTCACCATGGGGCCCTCAATCTGCCCCCCCATGCCTCTTCCCCCCCGCAAAGACCTACCTGCAGGGCACTGCTCTCCAAGTTTCCGGGCTGCATCCCTAGCCACATACACGTGTGCAGCTGCGTGCATGCTTGTGGCATTTATCACTGACATTACCAGCTACACCAGCCAAAAAAAATGATAATGTTAATCTTCCTTTCATCAATGCCAATGCAATATGCAACCGATACATTGGTGTACCTCTAATAAATATAATATGCCTTCTGATACATGGCTTTACTGTAAATTTTGACTAAATTATAGTTTGCCACAAATCCAATACAAGGCTTCAGCAGCAGGCAATAAAGCACACTCAGAAACTGCTGAACTTTCAGTTGTGGGGGGAGGGGGGAAATCAATTACATTTTCCTGGACCTAAAACTGTCCAGTTTTCAGGCTCCGCTATCAGTAGACAAGTCACAATGGCTCCAAATGACTTCACTGAAAACCAAGGGTCTAGGCAGGAGCTTGCAACCCAGATCCCTGTTGCAGGCAGAAAAAAAAAATCTTTTCTCCCTGGAGAACTCAAGCTGCCTATTCTTCCCTCACTGCTGATACCCAGACCCCCTCCAGCAAGGTAAGCACAGGGACAAAAAAGCAGCAAAGGGCTGTGAAGGACAGTACTGCAGAAAGGACAGGCAGCTCTGGACAGCTGCACACTATGGTCAGACTTTCCACAGATTGATCCAAGCTCTTGATAGGCCGAATCCACCAGGAACCACAGGCTGCCAACCCCTACTGTCAAATGTTCTGATTGGGAGCAGACTAATAGCGTTGGTTCAAAACATACCCTGCTACTGTCTCCAAATAGATCCAAACCTTTTATTTGAAAAAAAAGGTGCAATACTGAAATATACTATAGGCATGCTATACTTCCTCCCCTGAAAGGAGGAAAGCTACTGGCAGTTCAAGACATATGGTACTGTAGCTCAGAGTATCTATAAAACTGCAATGCAGCAAAGTGCAAATAGCCCAAGGACTGACTGAAGAGTCACCTGAATTCCATGATGAGAGGCCATTCCTACAAATAGATCTACAACTGCTGTGGAAACTTCCTATTCTGCACTAAAATGCAACAAATAAAAAATAAATAAAAGAAAAGAAAACCCCCAAACTGAAAGATTATCTAGACTAGTTACTGGCTAGTCTGGATAAAATAGCTACAAAAAGTATTGCTTCTCAAGAGCAGAGTAACTAACACAAGTAATTATTTATGAAGAACTACCAAACACTCTTGAGCAATTATTTTGCTGTGTATGTGCTTTGTCAAGAAAACGTGGATTTCACATGCCAATTTTGTGAAAAAATGTAGTCTGTAAAAAATAATATTGAAACTTTAGGAATTTTAACTTTGTAATTACAGTTTATGATAGAGACTCTCTGTGTCTAGTCTAACCCAGTTCCTCACTCCTTTTTAAAACCCTTGTAATTATTATGTCCTTACTGAGAAATCAAGACATGGAAACCTGTCACAAGTTTTGTGATACAGATCATGGTATTAACGACACTAAGATATGAACTGCATGTTTAAATAGACAGTCAAGCCTATACACTTAGCATTGAAACCGACATTTTCTATTTTACAAGTACTCCGTGTAATTAAAGTTGCTGTGTCTTCCATTATTCATTGATATTACTTTCTTAACTCCACTGACCTGGGATATACGTAAGCAATTTCTTGCTAGATGCAAGTCTCTATTTTTCAGATATTATCCAAATTTCCTTTATCTAAACATCAAGTGTACATTTTACTGCACGATTATACTTCAAGACAATTGCACCTTTTATCCTTCAACTTAAAAATTGCCTGTCAACTTTTCAGATTGAGGCAAATCTGATTCAAAACTCCTTGAACCACATTCTCTTTTGCTGAAGAATGGTTTTACCAATGAGTCTATGGGCAAGGGCAACTTACCACACTGCATCTTCTTCACTTACTGTGCTTTCTAAATGATTCTCTAGAAGCAATAGATTTTGAGAAATAGAAACAAGCTTAGTGGTGCATTTGTTCTTGATTTGACCTGCACAGCCAATTAGGTGAATGTATAACTTGATTTTGGGGTTTTTTTGGATTATGTAAGTGTATTTATCCTCCTGTTTACAAAACAATAAAACATATGTACACACTCACACACTTCCCAGGTATAATCATCTGAAAAACATTAATTACAACTTTGAAACTAAAAATCTTGCCTAATATTTTATTGGCATTCATTCATTGTTTCTAATGAATTTTATGAAAGAATTTTTTTTAGAAATGGAAAATTTTCCATGGAAAAATAAAGCACTGGAAAGTTTTTTGGAAAGTTTTCCACCCCACAATCTCTGTGCAGGTTACTTTGTGGAGCCTGAGGCAGAGTTCTGGCCTTGTGAAGTAGCCAGAGACAGCCAAGGTCCACAGCAAGGCTTGAGGCACAATAAGGCCGGGTTTCTCAACCGATGGCACGGCGGGATTTCTGGTTTTGCTTTTGTGTGCTTTGATTGGCCGCT